CTTGATGGCCTGAATTTGCTGGGCGCCTCGCAGGTGGTGCTCCGCGATCTTGATGAGATCAACCTCCCGGAAGCCCCCGTCCTGGTTGAGGTAGTCCCATGCTTTCTGACCCCAGGACGTCGTGTTGGCGAAGTAGAAGCGGAAGCTCGATGTCTATTTTCCTTGCCGAAGATGCCTGCCTACCATGCCGGCCGAGGCGAGTCCACCCCAGTCGCCTTCCCCGGAGGTCGGCCCTGGTGGAGATGCAGCTTCTGGCGATTCGCTCGTCGCACCTGCTGCGGTGCCACGGGCTTCGCCCGCCGCCAGTCGCTGGGGAAAACCCGCAGCCCCTCCAGCGCCGCGCAAGGTGCTGCAAATGTCACGGGGACGGTGCGGCGCAGCCGGCGTTAAAACTGTTGAAGCAGTGTCGTGCCCTCCAGCGCCACGTCCCCTTCCAAGGTCCCGAGGGGGAGGGAGCAAGCCCCGAGAGGTCCGACATCATCAGGGCAGGCGCCGAAGTGTCGTGAGGCACCGTCCCCCAAGCCGAATTTGGCCACGATTTTGTAAATCCCCCGCCAGATGTTTTTGTATTTTCTGAATTTTTGTAGAGTTTGTGTTTTTTCCATCAGCTGTTGTCACGTTGCCGACGTGCACCCCAAGTTGGGCATCTGCGTTGCGTGCTGTGCCGCGTGCGCGGTGCAGCGCGGGTTGTGCCGTTCGCGCTCGGCGCCGAACGCGGGGTGCCACGAACGCACCGCCGCTTCTGCAGCCGACGTTGAATTTGTGGTGTCGTGTGCCTGGAGTTGCGGGCGCGGTGTTGCGCGGTGCTTCTTTCGCGTGCGCGTGCGTGCTTTGCGCGCGGTGCACAGTTCGATGCGCGTCGTGCTGCGTGCCGGCGCGGTACCGTGCAAATAGCGCCGCGTACGAGCTGCCGCGCGAGGTGCCCGGTGTTTGCGTGCGGTGCCGCGTGCGCGGCGCCGTGTGCGCGGCCTGCGTGGTGCCACGTGCGTGGCGTTGCGTTGCTGGTGCCGCTCACGGGACCTCCGGTTTGTGCGTGTATGAGGTCTTGCCCAACTTGCCCAAGCGCGCCGCGCCGCGCCATGCGCGGCACGTTGCGCGGGTCGGGTTGCTCGCGTCGCGGAGGTCTCCCGCCATGCGCGTGCGAAGTAAACGGAGAGAGCGGGAGAGGATGGGAGGAGAAACGAAAGGGGGAAGCTAGGGAGGAAAGGGGAGTCATGCGAGATGGTAGGCGGAAGGGAGGGAAGAGCGGGGGAGGGATGGGGCGGCAAGGGGGGAGGTGTTTGGAGTAGGGGCAATAGTGCGAGTGCGACAATTGTTAGTGCCCCAGTCGCAAGTGGGCTGCCGGCGGTGCGTCAAGGCCGGGTTCTGGGATAAAATATTTGGCGCTCTTGTTCTGGGGTTCCTGTTTGTTTTCCCTCCGCGGCGCCTTGCGCCAAGTCCAGACACCCAGGGGATGCGGATGCCTCCCTCCCCCTCCCCCTGCCGCCCTCCCCTCCCCCTCCCTCCCGCCCCCCCCCTCCCGGTCAGGTCCTTTTCTTCCCTCTGTCCGCCTCCCTCTCTCCCTCTGTCCGTTTTCAGCCTTCCCCCCCCCCCCCTCGCTCTCCCGGGCCGAGGCACCCCCGGAGCGACCCCTGGGGCCACGATTTTGCCGACGTTTTCGCCCACGATTTTGCCGACGATTTCGCCCACGATTCTGCCCACGATTTTGCCCACGATTTTGCCCACGATTCGCCGACGATTTTGCAGACGATTTCGATTGCCCCCGATTTTGACAACGATTTTGAATACAATTTTGTTTCATTTTGATTCGAATTAACGAAAAATCGTAGGCAAAATCGTGGGCGAAAATCGTGGCTCGCCCCAGGGGTTGCCCCGGGGTTGCCCCAGGGGTGGCCCCTGGGGGTGGCCTCGGGGGGGGCCTCGTCCTGGGCCCGGACTGGGGCACCGCTCCGGGGTGCCCGGCGCGCGGCGGCGGAGGGAGGGGGCGCGGGAGAGGAGGGGGCCGGGGAGGGGCACTAGGGAGGGGCCGGTAGTGGGTGGAGGACAGGGAAGGGGCGGGCAGGGGCAGGTGGAGGGCAGGGAAGGGGGAGGTGCGCGGGGAGCGGGGGGGAAGGGAGGGGCAAAGGGGCCGCAGCTGTTGGTCTTGAGGGCCCACGTTTTTCGGAAACGGCCCACTGAATACCAGCGCAGCCCCGCCCACCTGCTCAGGCTCGCGCAATGGCTCCCAAGGGGGCCCCGGCCGCTTCTGCCGCCGCGCCGGCGGCCGCGAATACTCCCGCCAAGCGGGGCTTACTGGAGCAGCACGTGGTCCTGGTTAGGGCTCGGCGCGAGGCGTTCGCCCCTTTCCGCCGCATCGCGGCAGGGGGCAGCAGCGGGAGTTAGAACAGGGAGCGCAATTTGAGGGGCGCCGCGATATTGACCGCGTGCGCGACGAGGGGCGGCGGCGAGGGCGGCCCCCCCCCCGCCCGCGCGCGCCGCTTCGCGCCCCGAGGCCGCGCGCGGCGCGCGAGTCATTCCGGGGTGCGCGGGGCGCGGCGCCAGCAAGGGTGAAAAGCGTTTATTGCGCGCCTCTAAAAGCCGCCGCGAGACACGCGCCCTCTCGAGCAGCAAATAGAATGAACGCCCTGGGCTGCTGCGGGCCTCTCAGAAACGACCGCCTTTACTCAAGCGGCATGTTGGCGTGTCAAAATTTCGCAGTTGAGTCAGAGGGGCGGCGTTCGCCTGCCCGCGAGGGGGTCATTGTGGATTCGGCCCCCCTTGAGAAAGCACGCAGGGCCCCCTTCGGCCATGCTCGAGCCGTCGAACGGATGGGGGGCGCGTCGGGGGCCACGAGTGCGTGCGGGAGTGCGCGTGGGAGCACTGGACGCGCGCGTCGCCCGACGACCGCAGGGCGAAGTGTCGCCGTGGCGGAGAGATGCACGGCGGCCACATGGCATCTTGGATTCGGGCCCGCCTTGGTCGCGCCTTCGCAGCGTGCGCGGCGCGTCTCAGCGGCAGGGGGAGGCGGCGCGCGACAATGCGATAACGCTCGGGCGGCCCACGATGCCATCCCAATGCCAAGCCTCAGGACGTCGACGTGATGAAAATTCTCAATGTCAAAATCGTTGCGGCTCCTTGGGGGGAGGCGGCCTCGCAACGAAGTGGCCGCTGGGCCTGCGTCCCATCCCAAGAGCAGGCGCTCCGCAGTCACCTGTGCCTCATGTGCGCCGTAGCCGCTGCCTTGCCTCTTGCGTCGACGGCCATGCCAGTGCCAGGAGGAGTACCACCAGCAGGCTGCCCAGGAGCCAATCCGCCGCTCGACGCTGCCTGCGGCGCTGCCGGAGCTGCTGGCTCAGGCGGCTGAGGACGTTGATCGCCTCCTGAGTGGCCTTGAGCTCCTTCTGGTCGTGGCTTGGGCCTGGGTTTTCTCTTTCGCCCGTGGTCCCGGGCGGGAGGAGCTTGCCGACCAGCTCCGACAGCTTCCCGGGCTGGGTCCAGAGCTCGGTGGGCACCACTTCAAGAGCCCGAGAGGCCGGCCGTCCTGCGTAGGCCTGGGCCTCGAGCTTCGCGGCCTTGAGCTCCGCCTCGGCCTCCTGCGTGGCCACGGTGGCGTCCATGGCCTCTGCTGCTGCCTCGCGCGCTACTGCGTTGGCGGTGGCCACTTGCCGCTGCGCCTGGAGGAGCTGATTCTGCGCCTTGGCGACGCCCGGGGGTCAGTCCTTGTGGACTCGGGGGTCGAGCATGCCACCTGCGCGCAGGCGCCGCCTGTAGAGCAGCTTATCCCGCTGGCTCTGGGACAGACAGCAAGAGCCCGCCTGGAAGTGCTCGTCGGGCATGCTGAGGCAGAGCTCCAGCTGCTTCTCTCACCGAGCTCGAGCTCGAAGCGCCCGCCTCCACTCTAGGCCCTGCCCTGCCCCGCGTCCTGGAGCCGTCCACTCGATGGCCCTTGCCCCGCTGGAGGCCCCGTGGTCGGCGGGCGCTGCCAAGGATGTGGGCGACGCCTTCCACCGTAGGCCCCGTCGCCCTGCACCGGCGGCAGGCGGCCTGGACCAGGTACGCGACCGTCCGGTCTGCACCCCCCGCAGCTTCGGGAGGGGAAGAAACACACAGACACAACGAATCGATTCCCCAAAAATATGGGACACTATGGGCAGTGGGGGGGAAGACAGAAACCCAGAAAATACAGGAAAATATGGGAAATGTTCATTTGTGCGTATGTCTTTGTGTGTCCCAGGGCCCCTTCACAGTTGAAGCACTTGGCCTTCGCACCGCGGCTCCATGCGGTACGTTGCCTGCAGCCCCAGCCCACCATCGCGCGAGCCGGGAAGCTTGCAGGGAAGGGATGCTGATCCGGGGAATCTCGAATTTCGAGGTCGCGAACCTCGGCCCACGAGAAGCTCGTGGGCTTTCAAAGGGAGAAACAAGCCTCGAACTCTCGAGCCGAGGTTGGAAGTCCAGGAGAATGCCCCTTGAGCCAAATGGCTACGGCGTCCTCTCCCTCTCTCCCTCCTCTCTTCCCCGTCCTCCTTCCCTCCCTCTGTCCTCGTCGTCGTTCGCGACGCTGCGTTCGTTCGTTTGTAGTCGTCGTCGTGTCGATTATCGTTCTCGCCGTCGTCGTTCGTCTTCGCCATCGTCGGTGGCCCTCTTTGTCTTCCCGGACCTCGCGCCCCCATCTGCGCGCGCGAGGTAAACCTAGAACCCTAGGATCCTGGAGTTCCCTCTTTCCCTTCATTCCCCCCCACCGCCATCGTCCTGAGGGGGGAGCGGGGAGTTCTCAGGTAACACATCTCCTGGTTGTCGAGCGCAGGGTCACGAATTGTCCCACACGTCGGGCGCACTGCGAAGCAGGTGCGGGTGAAGCAACAAAAGAGGGGAAGGAGGAGGAGGAGGAGGACGAGGAGGAGGAGGTGGAGGGGGAGGAGGAGGAGGAGGAGGAGGAGGAGGAGGAGGAGGAGGAGGAGGAGGAGGAGGAGGAGGAGGAGGAGGAGGAGGAGAGGGAGGATGCCCGGCACTCCCGACAGCGAGCGGATTTCGTCTTCAACCTGATCTTCTGTGCGGATCTCCTGGTCCGCGCCTGGGCGTTCCCGCTGCTCAGCAACTTCTTGCGACATCCCAGAAACGCGATCGACGCAGCGAGGACAGCGGTGCCTCTTCTTTGTGCAACCCCTCTGGGTAATAGAAACAGCCTTCTTCCATCATGCAGGAGCCTGCGTTTGGGGAGGATGTTGCCGAATCGCTCCGACAGTCGCGTTTTTTTGACTCAAGCAGGAATCGGCACGGCTCGAGACGGTCCGGTATTGTAGCCGGTCCCGTTTCGGTTGGCCGGCTCGGTTTGACACCGGCTCGGTTTTGGCCGGTTCGCTCAGAGGCGACGATAGGGGCGAGTAGCCCAGGGGAGAGCAATACAAGTATTCAGGTGCGCCGATGACCTGTGCCTTCGAAATGGCTCCCGGGCGAATGCGTGTAATGCCCGCCCCTGGGCTATTCGCCCCTGCCGTCGCCGCTGATTCGCTGGTCGTCGTCGTCGCTGCCGCCGCCCCAGGTGCCCATGGCGGCGCCGCCTCGGGACAGGGTCCCAAAGGCCAGAAAAGCTTGTGGGCCCAGGGGGGGGGGGGCCACCGAGGGGGGGGCCACCTGCCTGGGGGGCCTACCCTGCGGGTGAGCCAATGTCTCTCGTCCTCCCTTGTCCTCTCTCCGCCTCCTGTTTTTCATCGATTATCCTCCCTGTTAATCTCTACTACCGTCTCCTCTTTCTCAAGCAGTCGCGAGGCGTCCTGGCGCGCCTGTAGCCCTACCAGACAATGTTCTAAGAACCTCTTGTGGTTTCCACGAAATGTTCTTAGAACATTTCTTGCTGGGACTGTCTTGTTTCAACACATCGGGCTCATGTTCTAAGAACTTTTTTTTCTGTTCTTAGAACGTTTTTGGGTTCTGAGAACGCTTCGTGGTAGGACTATAGGAATGCCCGGACGGTCGGTCCTGCTCATCTTTCTTCCTCGTTAAGGACGTCCTCCGTCGTGCCGTGATCGTGCAGCGGCGACGGCCGGTCCTCGCGGCTGCGACGTCCAGTTGGGTTCCTCTCGATTCGGGTGGCGGCGCGTCCGTTTTTCGGGTCCGGTTCCAGTTCTGGTTCGGTTCGCTTCCCCCAGGTTCCGTTTTGGTTCCGATTCGGTTCAGTCGGTTTTTGTTGTGTCTGGTTTGTTCCTGTTCGGACACGGTTCTCGGCTCGCGGTTCGGTTTGGTCTCATCATGTTGATCCAAGCCGCTCGGGTCAATGAGTTGATTTGCCCCAGCGCACGGCATGTTGTTCCCAGGGCAGGTTGACGTAAAGATTTGCGCGCCGTGCGCGGAGATGTGGTGGTGATGTACTTCAAACCGGGCATAGACATTGCAGCAACAGGTAGATATCCCCTCCATTGCGATTTAGCCCACCCGTACCATATGACCAGACTGAATCACAAGTGATTTAGGAGCGATATGTGATATTTCGGCCCTCACACTTGCCGAACACTGCGAGGGCACACCAATTGAGATTGCTCGCGCAACGCCTACCCATTGCACCCCTTTTTTCACACGACCTTGGCCTAGGGCAGTAATGTGGACCACTCTCGGATTGTCATGCCACTTTGCTTAAAATGCGGCTCTTAGCATTCTGCCTTTCATTATCAACGAGGCAACGGGCTCAGCCATCAAGCCTCCCCGTCCTGTCCGCATGGCATGTTCCCTCACGTTAGCCTCCTCATTCCTCTTGGCCTAAAGCTCCACATCTGACCCCCCCTGTTCTTTCCCTCTCCATCCCCATCGCCACCCCGTCGCCACCAGTCGGCTTCTAGCCGCTCAGAGCGGTATTCACCCTCCTACTTGAGCAATCGTGTGTGTTGAGATCGGCTAGGCTACGTTTCAGCCTGCGTGCGTCGATGTTTCGACCAGCTTTCTAGCTGCCATTTGCATAGTGGAGGCCCCGTGAGATGCGGCGAATTGAGGTTAGGCTCCAGATCGTTCTGGAGCAGCCTCCGGGTGCTCCAGAGCGCTCTGGAACGACATGGCGCCCGCCCGATAAGTCCCCTCGGATTTGCTGGTTCCCAGAGACCCGAGTTGTCCTGTCATACCCGATGTCGTTTGTGCGGTAGGTGACTCCGGCGTGGGCGTTGGCTCAAGCTGAAATGCCGTGGTTCCTGCAGATTCCGAACGCCAGCTCGATGCGGACTCGACGCGGATGTGGCGTGGATTTCGCGCGGATTCGCCGTGGATTCGACGCGGATTCGACGAATCTGACATGGATTCGACACGGATTCGACGCGGATGGGGGCGCGACCAGGCAGACAGGATCCCCCCGAAGATGCAACGTAAGATCGTTCGAGGCTGATTGACCCACGCGGCGCCATCAACCAGTGCTGACGCCATCGCGACGCGATTCGGCCTTGTTCGAGCGTGCCCGTGGACGTGTTGCCCTCGCCAGATCGTTCTGGGTTGTTATCGCTCGTGGGGTTTCGTGTCTTTGGTCTTCAGATGGCCGACAGGTGTTACGGTTGGCGTTGCAAAGATAGCGTGCGATGTGGCGGCGTCGGCCCGTTGATTACACGCTATCCCCCACCTTTGGGTGTAGCGTGCACCGAGGAAGCCTTGACAGGGGACTGGCCCTCGCGGGAGGTTCGCCTCACAGGGATAGCATGCTTTTCGGAGATCGATGTTGGACGCTATCTTCGCAACGTCCACCGCATGGCGCGTGGCTGGTATGTGTGAAGGTTCGGTCGAAATTCTGAGCATTGGAGCAGTCATGTGGTGTGCTGGCCAGCCGGACCGTATGTTGTGGCCGTCATGAGTCTCGGGGGTGGGGTTGGCTTTGAATTGGCGTCGGGCCTCTCTTGGGTGGGCCTTCTTGGGGGCATCCTGGGCCCTCTCGGGCCGCTCTGCGGCATCTCACACACATTGTAGGGGTCGTCTTAGGCCGAACCATAAAACACCCAGAAGATCAGGCTGTTTTTAGTGATGTCGGCCGTCAAGGACACCTCTTGGGTCCTCCAGGAGGAGGAGGAGGAGGAGGAGGAGGAGGACAGTTCGCAGAAGAAGGAGGGCCAGACGTACAATGCTGATGGCGAGGGGGACGGGGGCCCACAGCCAGGGGGGGGGGCGCCAGACGTTGTAGTCAGCGGCGCCGGCGAGTGCCGGCGCGGCCGAACGGCTGGCGGGCCGCGCCAGGCAGAGGCACTTTGGGCAAGAAGAGGGCGGCCGCGGAGGAGGAATCGGGGGCGACGGCGGGGGCGAATGGCGCAGGGGAGAGCCATCCGTTGCATCCAGGGGCGCCGATGGCCCATGCCTTCGGCGAGGCTTCCGGGCGAGTGCGTGCAGAGCCCTCCCCTGGGCCGTTCGCCCCCGCCGTCGCCTCCGGGGGAACGCGGGGGAACGCCGTTCGCCCCCGGTCGCGACCGATTTGAAATGTCGCTACCGATCGCGACCGCAAAAATCTGCTACTCAATGATCTGGGATCTTCCCCACCACTCCCCTGGGCACATGCCCCTGGCCCGCCACATGCCCGTGGCCATGTGGCTCTGGTTGCAGGTGCAATGGCGGTCAGTGCCCGATCGGTGCTCGCAGCGCCGGCCGGTGGCCGAAGGTGCGCACGCAGGGGCGAGCTTCTGCACGAGAGGATGGGCAAATTTCCCCCCACCGCCACTACCATGTGTAGGACGGGGGAGAAGTGAGGATGAGGAGGTCCTCCTCCTCCTCCTCCTCCTCCTCCTCCTCCTCCTCCTCCTCCTCCTCCTCCTCCTCCTCCTCCTCCTCCTCCTCCTCCCTCTCCTACCTATAGGTAGTACTGGTGGGAAGCTGGGCCCACCACGAGCGTGTTGTAAGAGAGAGGCTCGCGCCCTCGGCTCCGCGCCCCGCCCCCCCCCCCCCCGGGCAAGGTCTCGGCACTGCACCGGCGCGTGCCCAGCCTGTCCTTCACGCAGTGGCTCCGCTCCCTCGAG